ACTACACACACACACACACACACACACACATATATATATATATATATATATCGATATATATATATGTGTGTGTGTGTATGTGTATGTGTATGCTCGCTTATGTGCTTTGTTTTATATCTAAGTATATATATTGTCTATAACTGCATGAATATATATATGCTATTCCATTTTTTGCTTTTAACAAAAGTAAACTTAGGCTTTTGAATTGTTCTCCCTTTTCGTACTTACAGCAAATCCATATACACAACAAAAGCTACCGGTGTGGAATCCAATTATATCCACTGCGGTAACTATATGGACTATGTTAGGTCTAGGTCTGCTGTTGCTTGCGATGGGTGGAATATTCTATGCTACTGCTGAAGGGGTATGTGAATACGTGCATTAGCATAAATATTTATTTTCGTGCTTGAACTCGAATTGGGAGAGTATGTTAAGGATCAGTCCACCGACGGCTGCTCGTTGTTATATTCTGTTTTGTGCGTACATTAGCCACCTTATCTCGTAATTACAGCTCCATCCCCTTGGAACTACTGATGAATATATATCAACAACACATTGACCTTTTAAGCGTCCTTATTAAATAGTGTCGATGCTTGCATGCTTATATTGATCCATTTTATATCATTGAACGGGCTATCCAATAATAAGTCTTCAATGTTGTACGTCAGGCGTGTAAAAATAGCTGCGCACAAGGGCCCCAACTTCTGCACAATTTGCAATTTTCTAACTTCCTTTGCACTAAGCGAACTTATTTGTTGATCTAATTGCTCTCTATGTTCCATCCTATCTAGATCGTATTCGTGAGCATAGATTACACCGATTGTGTATCCGTGACCCCAGGAATCACCGGCACCTGTGCAGAATATGTTGCGACTTCTTCCGTTGACACTGAGGCTACCGTGTGCGAGTGCAACCTCGTATTCACAGCGCCCTCAGGGTTCCAAAATGAAGATGTATGTGCGTACGTGGATGGCAGGGTTTGGTTCAATTTCGGATATATATATATATTTTAATATCATCGATGAGGTTGATGCACTGAGATGTAGCTGTTTTTATTTTATAGGCGTTATGATTGTGCTTCGAAATGCGTCGCATTGACAAGGTGGTATCAATACAAATATATATGTACCTGTATGGTAAGCCAAGTGCCCACATTTCTATTCATTCCCGCATGCAGCTGTACTTCTACTATTATCTGGACAATTACTACCAAAACTTCCGTCGATACGTTGCTAGCATAGATTATCAGCAACTGCACGGAGAAGGCCTCGGAAACCTCGACCCCGGTTGTGGCGATGAGGACATGATCGATGGCGTACAGGTGCTACCGTGTGGCTACATCGCGAACAGCTACTTCAATGGTGTGTACCTGTACAGCGATAGTAGTTAACGACTGAGTCATAGATGGAGGCTGCGATGCACTGATGTGTAGCTTTAATGTATTATTAGGGCAGAGCGGTAAAATATTTCACTGTAGTTGCGGGATAGTACTGTATAGTTGGAACAGAAAGAAAAATGTAGCTGTGATACGTGGTGTGTTGCAGTGTGAGTGTGAGAATGTCGAGTGACCGTATCTCTGCATGCTAAGTAGCTGCAGTAGAAAGTGACGAAGGAAACCGAACGGATTATTCTATTAGGAGGATCAAATTATATATTTTTCAATTTGTTGCCGAGTACTTCCCAGAGAAATTTCTTAAATAGCAGATCGAAGTGCAGAAGCAAATATTGTGTAGTCGATGCATCGATAACTGATCCGATTTTTTGTACTCCATCCTTCCTCTTCGCATCAGATTAACCAATTCTCTTCGCGTTACTTTCGCAGATACCTTTTCGGTCCAAGCCAGCAATGGCACTGACGTCGTTTTTAACGACGAAAACATTGCGTGGAATTCGGATGGTATGTGACTTTCTCTGTGGGCATGTCTCTGGACGCGATGTTCTGTTCTGACTTGCCTCGAGCGAGAATTCTTGATATCTGTTGATACCATTGTAGAATACGTTGCACATATACCAATGTACCGCTCACCTCCATAGAGGAGTATCGAATGGCAGCCATTGGTAGCGATCTGCCTTGTGGTGCAACTCTAATACGATAGTGGAATGCACATGCGCTTATTCCACTCTCTCGTTCCTGGCCTATATTATCTGGCTTTGAGAGTGTGCACTGGTGCTGTCTAAAGTAGTGATTGACTGATGCTTGTACTGTGAAATACCTTACACACGTGTGCATGCCCATGGCTTTGACCACATTTGCCAGTGCAGATAGTACGTGGGCCTCTCGGCAAATGCCTCGCTCGCGTTTCGACCAAGTCCCGTTTCTAGATACCTCTCTCTGCTGGAAGGCATTTGCGACTGAAATATGTCTAGGTCAGCATTCGCTCACCTCTATGTGGGATATTAATGTTGTTTATTAATCTGTGTGTTTTCCACAGTCTCGTTCAAGTACCGAAATCCCGCTTCAGGGTTCAACGATACTGTGACGCCTCCGAATTGGGGAGGGCGCACAGTGGCCACGGTAAGCGCTACACCATTATATATCTGTTTACGTAAATTAAGCTTGTGCAAGTCTACGTTCGCATGGTTATTGAATGAGAGAAGCATGTAAGGGTTTGTACTTGTCGTAGAATGTTGTATGACAAATAAAAGAGATTTCATTGCAATATAGTGCAAGCGTTTATCGTTTCTTTTGCCTCGCGAGTAATCGATCCCCCCTAGATACAGTCCAAATGCTAACATATAAACGCACCAAAAAAATCGGCACAATGAGTAGACAACACCTACATACTCTTAATCGTAAAGTCTTTAAAAGATTTCAATTCGAGAAAATGTATGCTCTTTACTCTGAGATTCATCATAAGCGACTCTGTGCTACTCTTGTCGCCTGTGTATTTTTGCTTCATATGCATTCTGGGATGATTTACGACTCTAAAATACGTGATGTCTCTGTACCACTACTTTTATACACATCTGTGGACACATGTAGATGTTGCTTGGCGTATTTACTATACCGTCACTTCACTGTTGGTGACATTTATCCTAGTAACTGTGATCGATTATCGTATTTGATATTTGGATTTTTAACCTGTACATCTTTCTACTCATGCCAACCAATTCTATACACAGTGATCTCCCTATTTTGTATATTTAATTGAAGTATGCAGTTTTGATACAGTATGTACTACTGCCTTGCCGCCAACCAATAGGTGTCGCATAGAGCCTAGATAACTGTATAGTTCGATATCAATACCCATGTTCGCGTATGAATTCAACCCAAATCGTATACAAAACGGTATCGGAAGCACCAGTACTCATTTGTCATTCTATTATTGTTCTCTACCCCTGCTTGCATAGGTACTCGGTGAAAGTGGGTTGACCAATCAGGATTTTGCCGTGTGGATGCGCACCGCAGGTTTGCCGTGGTTCCACAAGTTGTACCGCAAGATCCCTGGAGGACTTATCACTGGTCAAAACTACACCGTATCGGTTCAATACAGTATGTTATCCCGCTTTAAGTATCTGAGGTGGTGATTCGCATAGTGATGCTATATGCCTCTCCAACGATGTGTGTGGAATCACTTCATAGAATGACCTAACTGCGAGTGTGTTAAGCTATTGACTGTAATACCAATTGACTGCACGATTTTGCATCGCATACTACGACGTAAATATGCATATATGTGTCCGTAAGAGTTCAAGATACACTCCGCTTGGTAGCGGCTAAATTTATCTAGTGTGCATCGATATTGAACAACAAAAGTTAGGGTCACCGGGAACACTCAGAATAGCTGCCTCTGAAACTGAAGCCTGCCTTACAGTTCTGTTATGTAAGTATGTATAGTTCTCTAAACCTGGCATAAATCTTTTGGACAGACTATCCAACCAAAGTGTTCAACGGACATAAGGAAGTGCTCATCACGACTATCTCGTGGCTGGGTGCTCAGAACCACTTCCTAGGAATCATCTACCTCGCAGCTGGCTCTGGTATGTTTTCAATCGTTTGCGACCGATTGGGGTGTATATGAGCGTCATCACTCGACCGAAGTTTTTATCGCCTTCTTTGCCTTGAAAATCAATTATATCAATGCGGAAACTCGCATAATTCTGTGATGACGATAACTGCTATGGAGTACAAAGTTCTTATTAACCTTGTCGTAAATGTAGGTGTATA